CTGCCGAACATTGAGGGGTGCTTCAAGGAAGTACGCAAGCTTGGATTGTACCCAGATTCACGGGAGGTGCTAGACTTTTGTCACTTCTTGCTGAAGAACGTGGCTGGTCGCAAACTGGAGAAGATTACGCTGCATGCGAGCTTCGATGAGATGGATCCGACCGTCACGACGCGCGAACTAAACGATACCGTCAATGAGCCTGGACTCATAACCTCGACCATGTTCAGCCACATGCAGCCGTTCGCGAAGTGCACTCCAATCGCACTTAACGAAATCACGCTGCAGAAGCTACATTTGCGCTACGCAGCAGAGACATACTGCAAGTTAATTGACTTCCAGTCCATCAAGAGCATCCGCATCTTTGGCTGCTCCGGTGCTGACGCTCTCTTCGCCGAACTCAGCAAGAGCACAAAGCTCCCTGATAAGCTAGAAACCCTCGAGTTCAAACACGACGACAACGCCGAGAATGACGGTCTAGGGGCTATCGACGGATTCCTTTGCCTCGTCTCAGGCATCAAGACCCTCACCCTCGACCTCACGTACGTCAAAGCGCTACCGGCCGCCGCAGGTATCGTGCGCCACAGCAAGACACTAAAGAGCCTCAACGTCCACGCGAGCACCGGCCCAGACATGTGCGACGAAGAACTCATCTACGACTACGCCTCGTTTTCTTCCATTTGCAAAGAATGCACCCTCCTCGAACAAATCTCCGTCGCCTTCCCCAGCGTCAGCGTCATCCGCAGTAAAAACGATAGTTTTGTCAACTTTGAGAACTGTCTAGGTGATCTACCACAATTAGCAACTTTGAACATCACTACCTGGCCTACCAATAGTCCTTCATCGGCTAAGCTGCCACGTAAGATTTACGAACATTTGCTTGCTGGGTTGGCACAGCAGGGATTTGAGAGGAGCGCAAGTAATTCGAAGGAGAAGAGCAGGAGTAGTAAGTTGGGCATTATTGCGTTCGGGTCGAGTGATAAGGTTTATGATCGGGAGGATAGTGAGAACCAGATCAGTACGTGTTCACCTGTTTTCTCTCCTCCCTCCCCTTTCCCCCAACCTCATAACATGACTCTTGCTAACCTATCTCAATCATTTAGTCTTTGTCAAAGGCCGCCAAATCGATCCCCTAGGCAATGAGACTTCAACGGCGGTACAAATCGGATGGTGTTTGCGCAAATTCGTCGATGCAGGATCCAAGTCTGATATCTTGGATTTCTCGCTGAGTAGGAGTTCGAGGCCACCGAGTAGAAGCGAGCCAGGGAGTGATGATAGTGATCTCTGACAGGTACGGTTGGAGTGGTAGGGCATGGAAGAGGTATCAGCAAGTATTGGTTGGCAGCTTGCGCTTCGGTTCTCAACCTACAGGGGTATGTCGTAGTGATATTGACCGAGGGCTGGAATGGGCTGAACAGGTCACGACCAGCATTTATACCAATTTGAAGAGTTCAGCGGGCGTTGGCATCTACAATACATTCTTTGCGACATGAAGTTTTGCGACCAAATTGGTATGAAGAATACGTCCACGATATGGCCTGTCAGACCCACGCGACTCAAGCAGACCAGGAACACGGGTTCCCGCTCGGAGTATACTCCTTTGGACAAGATCGACGTCGCTAGAAGATCATACGAGATGCGTCATTGATGGACATATAAATCGGGACGCGACAACGTCTAGCACCGCGTCTCCATCCAAGTAGGAATAAGTACTACGTTGAGCGGAGTGACGTGCGAAAATGTTTTCGTCCTTGCGGATGCCATGGCGGATCGCTCCTGCCTAACATCATCTGTAGCTTGAAACAACTGCCAAATTTTCATGTCGCTGAGCACACAATGTCTAGCAACGTCAACTCGACTCTGGATTGTTAACAGGCCAATTGTTATCCGTCTCTTGCTACCGAAACCCGTATACGCGTCTACCCAGGCTCAGATCATCTCCCCGGCCCTGTATCTGATCGCATCGGTAATTGCCGCGTGTGATCGGACCGCGAAACTTATATGCAAGTAAGCCCTCTAGACTCGAGAAACTCTGAGATCTGTCACTGGCTGTCAGGCAGGAATGCGCCTCGTCGGACGAAATACATCTGGACCCTACCTTGCAGACGTTTCTTTATCCGGAAGCTAACGGGACATCAGCCAACGTCCTTCCCTCGTCGCGGTAGAACTGCGGCTACGCCATGACTTCTTCTCCGCATGCGTCGCAGTATGCTGCACCACCAGACGGCCAGGACCCGCATAATTACACGCCCTTGTATCCCAACGGGCAGGTTCTGGACGGTCAGGCACCACCGCGCATCGCTTACCCGCAAGAAGCCGCCTACCCGAAGCTCGAGAATATCAACGAGGTGCTCCAGGCGCAACAGGCTCTCCAAGCGAATCATGTCCTGAATCCTCCGCTGCCCCAACAATCAAAGCCGAACCGCCTGCGCAAAGCCTGCGATTCATGCAGCATACGCAAGGTCAAGGTAACTGCTTTGTTCTAGCACTGTAGTCGGCAACACTGACCTCGGTAGTGCGATGAATCGGGGCCGCCGTGTAGAGCTTGCCTAGCTCTAGAAATCCCGTGTACTTTTGAGCGCCCGAGCCGACGACGCGGTCCGCCTAACAGACATGCCGAAGCGATCAAGAAGCGAAGGATTGGCGATGTAGACTCTGGCTCGTCGAATCCGCAGTCTCCTACCAATGCCGCCCATGCGCTGGCCCAGCTGCAGTCGTCGCATCCGACCCAGCTCTCTGCCGAAGAGATATGCGCCCTCCCCACACTCAACGCCCTCATCGACGATTTCTTCACATACATACACCCGCTATGTCCCTTTCCTCACGAGCCGTCGTTTCGCGAAGCGTGGGGCCAGAGGGAGGACTTGTCGAATCCCTCGTTCCTGGCGCTGCTGGCGTCCATGATCGCGGTCCTGGTCGCTTCCTTCCCTCGAAAACCACGCCTACACCTCAATACACAGACGCGACGCGAATACCCAAATCATCTCTCCTTGGTCGACAAGTGTAGAGATGTGTGCGCGCGGGCGCGCGGGCCGGGCTATCTTGATCGGCCGTCTTTGAATGTATACGACGCGTGTACCAGCTACTTCCTGGGCTTGACTGGAGCCTACGTATTCCAGTGGCGGCAACTACGACTTTATTTGGCCGAGTGCCTAACTATCATACGGTCATTGGGTCTCCATAAACACGAGGCTCAGGGTTATACCTATCTTGGTGGCATGCCGCATGCGTGGGGCTCGAATGGACCCAATTACGATGGCTCGAGAGAGTTCAAAGTAGACTATATCACCGAGGAGATTGGCCGACGTGTGTTCTGGACGGTGTTTGTGGGCGTGCGGTAGGTTCTTATAATACTTCTTCTTCAGGGTCGACAATGCTGACTTTGGCCAGAACCATACAACAACTAGGCGCTTCGTTCGGAGAGTTGATGATTCCGCCCGCGACACCTACCGAGCCCCTCCCACCACTGCCCCGCGAAGTCGACGACGTACACATCTTCCCAAACGAGATTCAACCACAGCGTGAAGGAGTCGTCTCCATGATCACTGGTTTCAACGTCAACGTGCGCATCTACCTCTCCTACTCATCGCTAGCAACGGCGGAGATGGCATTCGGCATAGACGAGATATTTGACTGGGACCGACAACAACAAATCTTCGCACAGAGCTTGCAGCGCTGCCGGCAGATTCTAGAGAGCCTCCCCGAAGTCCTCAAAGTGCAACCAAAATCCAGCAAAGACAGCGGTCTCGAACAACAAAAACCCTACTACCCGCCCATGCCAGAGTATTCCGGAATGCGAGATCCTACCTTGGACAGTTACCAAAAGACAGATAGCCACGACATGCGACGCTACGAAATTCAGAAAGCAAATATATACGCCAGCCACCTGTCTACTCGCTCACACCTCGTGGAAAAGTACTTTCTCCAACTAGACAAGTACCAGAGATCGGTGGGCCAGGCTCCTGCACAACCCAGCACCAACGCTCTCGCGGCAGGAATCGATAGGTTTGTATCCGGAACCACCACCGACGCGGAAGTCCTCGAAAAAGCAATGTCAGAAGAACGCGAACAAGTGGTCAAAGACCTCCTGGTAGTACTGGGCAGCATCGACATGGTCAACATGGAGCCAAACGGCGACTCCTTTGTAAGTCTATACGTTTACTTGCAGAATTCAGATTTCCTATATCAACCCTCAGACGACAATGAGTTCATTCTCTCCATGTCAACCCACGACTTCTTTCGCAGAAACACAATCAGTCCGATCGCAAGCTTACGGTTCTTCCCTGCGCAGACTCAGAAGATACGCAGTATTGCCAGTACCCTCTTGGAAGTCCCCAAAGAGCGGCGTGGCAGCGTTGCACTACAGCACCAAGACTACCTTTACAAGTTCCTCGATATATTGAGTAAATTGGAGAGGGTAAGTCCGGAGGGGAGTGAGCCGAATGGTGGAGGTGCGTTGGACGAAGAGAGTGAGTTGAGACTATGGGCGGACTTGAGGGACCATCAGTTGAGGTTTCAGGAACAAGGGGGCGTTTATGGGTTTTCGTAATAGACGGACGTATGAGCAGAGTTGGAAGGAGTCGCAGCGCAGAGCACCGAATCTATGTAAGATACTTGTTGGGAGGGTCGTTGGTGGGTTATCGTGATTGGGGTTAGGCATCGGAGTTTATGCGTTTAGTATTGCAGTCGATCAATTGCACAAGATAATCGCAAGTCACATCATCCGAGTTGACATAATGTCAGAACTGATCATGCATTATGAGTCTTCAACAGGTATACAGTAGTTGTACAAGCTCTTCCTCCACAAGACGTGTACACATACTCCAATCGCACGGCATCCCCAAGCCACGTCGTGTAACGCCCATTGCATGCAATCCCTCATGATATCCTATGTGTTCTTGCACTTCTTGCCCTTTTTCATAATGTTTCTTCTCATGATAGCAGGTATTCTTCACGGCACAGCACATCCTCGGATTCATTAATCCGCACCCTACACCCCCATTCTACGGCACAACAACAACTCCTATACTCCCCGCCTGACCCACAACGCTCCTCGCTACGCCCTCCAAACTCAGCCCACTCAACCTAGTCTCGCTATGCTTGATCTTCGCAATCTCATAGACATGCTTCAAAGACACCGTGCCCACGGTGCCCTTGACCGCGTTCCCCACAGTGGGACTACTCGTCGATGTCTTGCCCTTCTGCCCATCGTGGTTGTTCATGGGTCCGGGCACGTTACCAGCACCCCGGATCTTGTTCTTTTGGGGCGCGACGCCGGCAGCGGAGAGGAGCAGGGTTGCGGTGGGTGGTGTGCGCAATTGGAAGTGGAAGGAGCGGTCTGGGCGGACTGTTATGCGTGCGGGGATCGGGGTGCCGACTGTGTAGTGGGCGGTGCGGGCGTTGAATTCCTGGGGTGGGTTGTTAGGACATACATGTCGTGTAGGTGTGGTGGGTATGGAGGGTGAGCTATTGGAAATGGCATGTAGGCAAGGATGGGGCGTCATGAAGATTGAGTAGTTCATATCATAAGAACTTTATACTACTAATGGGACAGAGATTGTAGGTTTAGGGGATGCTGCATAGGGCATGCGACAGTTGGAGATGATGAACGTACTTTGCAGAAATCCATGCTCTTTACACCTTTGCTTCCTAGCGCTGGACCGACAGGCGGCGAGGGCGACGCTTGCCCTGCGCCTACAATCAGTTTGACGATTTGGTCTTTTGCTATTGCTTTTCGCGCCATGTTGTAAGTGGGGGTTTGGTTTGGTGATGGGGTGGGTGCGCTATGCTGGGGAATTTGCGGAGAGGGCTCGGAGGTGTCGGTCACAGGGTTTTCAGCGCAAAGTCGAGCGAAAGGATTGACGCGTTAAACGTATTTGGAGGGCAAGAGACGTATATTGCAGTAATAAAGATGCTATTTCCCAGTAAAAATGAATTTTCGGATGTTGGCAGAATGATGATGCTGCCTGCCTTTCCACGTGACGACGTGATGAAGCTAATAGTCGACGCGTCGCAATTCCGCCACCTACGAGCACTAATCAGCATTCCCACACTACACTCGCTCTCCTCCCAACTTCCACCATACCGACCGAACATAGGCAATAAAACTTCGGACGACACACCAGAAGTGCCAATTTCTCATGCATCGTCCGAAAACCCTCGCAGCCGGCGAGGCCACCCCTGCGAAGCCCGCGGCGCGTCTGTACGGTGGCACTCCGCAGTCAACCGACCGTCTCATCAAACCCTTTCGGTGTCCCGGCTCAGCAACAGTATCCAGTATTTCTACAAAACCTGCACGGAAGAGGAGGAAGGTCGATTACTCTGGTGCTGGCGGTGAAGATGGAGAGAGCGACAAGCCATATTCGAATGAAGACCGATTAGCTCTCGCCACTCGAGATGCAAACAGATTTCCCGTCTTCAAGCCAAAAGACAAAGAGACCGCATTCAGGACCAAGTTCATCGTACCTCTGGTCAACAAGGATGTGGGAGCCTATAATCCGAATCGACCAGCGCCACTGCTTGGTATGCGAACAGGAACCGTCTTTGTTGCGCGACCACTGCACGACCCTAGCGGAGAGTTTGCGATTGTACTCTACGACCCGACAGTCGACGACAAGCCAGTAGAGAAGGAAGAAGTGGAGCCAAAATTGAGCCAAACAGAGAAGCAGGAGATGGAAGCTCCGCTAGTGCACAAGAGTTTGGCTGAGATACTGGGGTTGAAGAAGAAGGTAGACAATGAACGGCCACGCGTGCCAGTCGTCATAGATCCAAGGCTTGCTAAAGTTCTTCGACCCCATCAAGTCGAAGGTGTAAAGTTCCTGTACCGCGCCACAACAGGTATGATCGATCCCAAGGCGAACGGATGTATCATGGCAGACGAGATGGGTCTCGGAAAGACGCTACAGTGCATCGCTCTCATGTGGACGCTGCTGAAACAGTCACCCGATGCTGGCAAGTCGACGATACAAAAGTGCGTCATCGCTTGTCCGTCGAGTTTAGTGAGGAATTGGGCGAACGAGCTTGTCAAATGGCTTGGAAAGGACGCTGTCACCCCCTTCGCCATTGACGGCAAGGCATCGAAAGAGGAGCTTATCCAGCAAATACGACAATGGTCGATCGCATCCGGACGCGCAGTTGTCAGACCTGTCCTCATTGTATCATACGAAACCCTGCGCCTCTACGCCGACGAGTTTGGACAAACACCTATCGGTTTGATGCTTTGTGATGAAGGGCATCGACTGAAGAACGGTGACAGTTTGACATTTACTGCGCTCAACAACTTGAACGTGCAGAGGCGAGTCATCCTATCGGGTACACCCATTCAAAACGATCTATCAGAGTACTTCGCTCTACTCAACTTTGCCAACCCAAACTACCTCGGGACACGTATGGAGTTCCGCAAGCAATACGAAATCCCCATTTTGAAAGGTCGCGATGCCAACGGTACAGACGAGGATGTCAAGAAGGGCACTGAACGGCTCAACGAGCTTCTTGGCTTGGTCAATAAGTTCATCATTCGGCGAACCAACGACATCCTCTCCAAATACCTGCCAGTCAAGTATGAGCACGTCGTATTCTGCAACCTCGCGCCTTTCCAGAAGGATCTATACAACCACTTCATCAAGTCACCCGACGTCCAGAGTCTCCTCCGTGGCAAAGGTTCACAGCCACTCAAAGTCATCGGCATGCTCAAGAAACTCTGCAACCACCCCGACCTTCTCAACCTTCCCGAAGACTTGCCCGGCTGCGAAGACAAGCTACCCGACGACTTCGTGCAAAAGGATGCGAGAGGCAGAGATCGCGAAGTCAAGGTCTGGTACTCTGGGAAGATGGCTGTCCTGGATCGTATGCTGGCTCGCATCCGCGCGGAGACAAACGACAAGATCGTGCTGATTTCTAACTACACGCAAACCCTCGACATCTTCGCCATGCTCTGTCGGTCCCGCGGCTACGGCTGTTTCCGCCTTGACGGCACAATGAATGTGTCTAAACGGCAAAAGCTCGTCGACAAATTCAACGATCCCGAGTCCCCCGAATTCGTCTTCCTCCTTTCCTCGAAAGCTGGTGGATGCGGTCTCAATCTCATCGGCGCTAATCGCCTTGTCCTCTTCGACCCAGATTGGAATCCAGCTGCTGATCAACAAGCACTCGCGCGTGTATGGCGTGACGGCCAAAAGAAGGATTGTTTCGTATACCGCTTCATCACCACAGGCACCATTGAAGAAAAGGTCTTCCAGCGCCAATCCCATAAACAGGCTTTATCGAACTGTGTCGTTGATTCTGCGGAAGATGTTGAGCGTCACTTCTCTCTCGACTCCCTTCGCGAACTCTTCCAGTATCGTGACAACACTACGAGCGATACGCACGATACTTTCAAGTGCAAGAGGTGTAGGAAGGAAGATGGAAAGCAGGTCATCAAGGCGCCGGCTATGTTGTATGGTGATACGAGTACGTGGAATCATTTTGTTAACGATGGGGAGACGGGGCCTTTGGGTAAGATTCAGGATTTGTTGCTTAGGCAGGAGACGGCGAACGATTTGAAGGATGTTAGTGCTGTGTTTCAGTATATCAGTCACTGAGTGGTGGAGGTTGTTTGCATTTTGTCTGCATGTTTTTTTTTAGCGTTCGGGGAGCGTGGCATCGCGAGAGGCGTTGTTGCTTGGTGTTTGATGATAATGAACATGACATCTTTATGTTAAGCTTGGAAGGGTCTGACATCATGTACGGAAGGTGCTGTTTGGTACCATGACCGTCTTATCGTTCGCTACCACGGTGCCTTTCTCCGGTACCTACAGAATGAGTGCTGATATAACATCTCGGCCTACGGTATATTAACAAACAGACACTGCTCGCATCCGACCGAGATGTTTGGTCTATTGTTATGAAAGCAAGGCCGAATGAGAGCCACCATGTTAGTCATACTTCCAGGATATGAGATGGCTATCACACCGATACGTACCATACTCCCACCATGCGCAAAACTCGGAGCAATTAGACTACCACTGGTACCGTTCCGTTACATGCTCACCTACCTTTACCAGTCCGTCACACGCGCACCCATATCAACACTGAAAACAGCTCCGCCATCACCATCATCTTGCTGCAAATCAAGGTCAAAAATATGAAGAATCCGTCCGAACACTATCGAGCGCGAGACCTACAAGGGTTTCGGCACCTGCGAATCTGAGAATTTCCATGTGCGAATACTTTTTGGCTCAGGTTCCAAAAGGTGGTCCCGAATGAACCATTCCGAGCACACTAGCGCCACTTGGTCTGAGCTTCAACATTTCGTAGACAGCTCCACCGTCCGTCACGACCTCCACACCACAAACTTCGCACACCCCAATATTCTCGACACGATACCTACCGAACCCTCGCGCACACCATACAGCATGGATTCGAAACGCCGCAAGACCGGCGATCAAGACATCAGCGCGCTAAGGCTTGCCTCGCGCCAGAAATACCTTGCCGAACGAGAAGCGCAACAACTCGCCCTACTTCGCCGCCAGGTTGCAGAGGAAGCAGAAGAGGAGGAGAGATTAGGGGACAAATTATCAGCAAGGGAACGTCAGGAGTTTAGAAACAACAGGAAAACTCTGGAGTTGGCCGAGGCGCGTAATGCTATCGATGATTCGGGAGAAGGCTACATACTGCCCGATGCGGACTATTCGAATAAGCATGAGGCTCTTACCAAACGACACAAAGACAAGGTCTATGAGAAGAGCGAGGTTCAACTATGGGAAGAGGAGCAGATGAAGAAGATCAAGAGTCAGCCTAAGCTCAAGGCATCGGATCGTGTTCAAGAGGAGGACTATGAGTACGTCTTCGACACATCCAACGAAGTACAGTTTCAGGTGGATGCCTCGACTCGTGTGGATGTGGACAAGCAGATGTTGCAGCGCCAGCTAGACGAAGCAGAGAAAAGGGCTTCTAGTATTGAGGACGTCCGACGAAGTTTGCCGGTCTACAAGTTCCGGGACGAACTACTCGCCGCCGTGGATCAGCATCAGGTTATCGTTGTCGTCGGTGAAACTGGATCCGGAAAGTCGACTCAAATCCCGCAATACGTCCATTCTGCTCTTGATTCGAGCGGTATGATTGCTGTCACACAACCACGACGAGTTGCGGCTATGAGCGTTGCCAAGCGTGTAGCAGAAGAGTTTGGCTGTAAGCTTGGGAACGAAGTGGGTTACAGCATTCGTTTCGAGGACAAGACTGGGCCGAAGACAAAGATCAAATTCGCCACAGACGGTGTATTGCTACAGGAGGCGAAGTCCGATCCGCTACTCTCCAACTACTCTTGCATCATGATCGACGAGGCCCACGAACGGTCCCTACAATCCGACTTGCTGCTGGTTCTCTGCAGGGAAGTTTGCCATGCTCGACCAGACTTCAAACTCCTCATCCTTAGTGCTACTATCAACGCTGCACACTTCTCACAGTACTTCCACAACTGTCCTATCTTCTCAATTCCTGGTCGAACCTTTCCTGTGGAGGTTTTGTATTCTAAAGCGCCAGAAGCAAACTATCTTGCAGCAAGCATCACGACTGTGATGCAGATACATATTTCTGCGGAGCCAAAAGGGGACATTTTAGTCTTCTTGACAGGTGAGGAAGAGATCCAAGCGGCTATGGAGAGCATAGAGGAAACGAAGAAAAAGCTTGGATCAAGGATCAGAGAGCTTGTTGTATGCCCTATCTACTCTGCCCTCCCGCAAGATCTACAACAAAAAGCATTCGAGCCAGCCCCTCCCAACGGACGCAAGGTCATCCTAGCTACCAACATCGCTGAGACGAGTGTTACCTTCGAAGGCGTGAGGCATGTTGTCGACACAGGCTACAGCAAAGAAAATACTTGGGACAGTGTTCGAGGATTGTCATCACTTGTCATAACACCGATCTCGCGTGCCAATGCAGACCAGAGAAAAGGAAGAGCGGGTCGTACGTCATCTGGCTGGTGCTATCGATTGTATACTCGCGCCGCCTACTACAATGAGTTACAGCCTGAAAACATACCTGAGATCCAACGTACGAACCTCGATGAGGTCGTGTTAAGCCTCAAGCAACTCGGGATCACTAACTTGCTTGAGTTTGAGTTCCTGGATAGCCCTTCGAGCACGTCGATGATCAAGTCTCTCGAGAACTTGTACGCCTTGGGAGCTTTGGACTCCACAGGAGCTTTAACTCGATTAGGTCGAAGAATGGCGGAGTTACCTTTGGATATCAAGTTATCGAAGGCTATCATTGAGTCCGAAAAGTACGGTTGTAGAGAGGAAATCCTCTCGATCGTTAGTATGACGGGAGAATCTGCGACCCTGTTCCTTCGACCCAAAGACAAGAAGGTTGCGGCTGACGCTGCACGCAAAAGGTTCACATCATTAGAAGGGGGTGACTTCATAACGTATCTCAACATCTGGAACGAATTCGTTGAAAGTGGTTACGACCCAGGGTGGGCACGTGAGAACTATCTTCAAGGAAGGGTTCTTACACGTGTGCGAGACGTTCGTGACCAATTGGAGCGACTGGCCGACCGCGTCGAGGTGCCGGAGTCATCATGTGGTACCGATCATATCGCCATTCGAAAGTGCCTTACCGCCGCGTTCTTCACAAATGCAGCGAGGCTGCAGAGAGATGGGCAGACCTACCGTGTCCTGGCAAACAGCGGTTTGACCGTCCACATTCACCCCTCCTCTCCCCTCAACGAAAGCCGACCGAAGTGGTGCATATTCGCTTCTCTGCAGGCAACCTCGAAAGAGTGGATGATGACCTGTGCACCTATAGAGCCAGATTGGCTGGTCGAGGTAGCACCTCACATGCACACCGAGAGCTCAATTTCCAAGCTCGGCGACAACAAGAAGATGCCAAAGGTGCTGCAGGAGAGGTCGAAGACCAGCGCTGGTCACAACACGACGATCAAGAGTGGGATGCCCACGGGTCAGAAGTAGGTCATGGTAGCGGAATTTACTCTCTCTCTCTTTCCTTGTTCTTGGAATTGAGGAATCCTGGGGTTATGTCGTCGGCCGACACGTATAAGGTTTGGGGCAGAGTGATGTCTATTACCCTTGGTATGCGTTAGACATAGTGATAGTGTAGCAGTTCTTACAGAGCTCACGTCTTGTAGGAGTCAGGGTTGGGCGTTTTGGAAGGAAAAAAAGGTCACAATGTTCGATATGATACCCGATCTCATGTTTTATCTTCATCAGGCGTTTTCGAGTCTTTGCGTAGTATGATAGAATGGAAAACGTCGAGTCAAAACACACAATTTCACATATTCCGTTGCCTATATTGCTAGCTAAGTATTGCACTATCTCCTACATTCATCGCTCTTTATCGTAAAACTCTCCCTAATCTGACCGCCATGTATGTACTACACTATATCCCATCCCTGAAACACACACTTTTAAGCATCCACTGGAACTTCATACTCCCTCTCCCCCTCTGTACTAAACAACACCACCACACTCTCCTCCCCTAAGCCCAGCACTCTTTTCGTCTCCCCATCCCCACAAACTTTCTTCAACGCCGTCAACGTCGCAGCTCCACACGGCCCATTCCTGACCCCAGTTTCATGCAACTCCAACAAATCATTGTGAACATGGATATCCTCTACCGTAACACTTAAATCCACCCCTTTTCTCAGCACGTCCCATGCCGTCGTGGATGTGGTTCCACAGTTCATCCCGTTGCATATCGTATGGCCAGTTTGAATGGGTGTGATTTTTCCGGCGGAGAGGGAAGCGAGAAGACTGGCTGCTGTGGAGGGTTCGACTGTGATGACAGAGGCGGGTGGGGAGTTGGAGGGGGCCTTGTAGTGCATGGTTACGGCTTGCGCCCAGGAACCTACTCCGCAGGCGGCTATGGCGTGGGTTACAGGGGGGATGTGCATGGCTTTGAGCTGGGCGTCTGTTTCGGTGAGCATGGTTGTGTAGCCTTCTACTACCCACTGCTTCCCGTTAGTCTGCCGTTCTGATCGAAACCGTGTAAAGTTTGGTAGATGGTGATTTGGGTTGCGTAGCTAGTTGGGTAATCACGCACCTGAGGTATCTCTTCGTATCCTTCCCAAGACACGTCCATGACTAACATGGCTCCCTTGCCTTCCGCTTCTTCTCTAGCTTTTGCAATGGAGTCGTCGTAGTCTCCGTCTACCACTCTCACTTCTGCGCCTTCGCTCCTGATTTTCTCTTGCGTCGCTTCGTCCATGAAACCAGGAACGAAGACGACGGCTTTAATCTCCAGATACTTTGCCATTCGCGAAACAGCTCTACCCCAGTTCCCTTCCGTACACGCAACTAGTTCGATACCCGCTTCTCTTGCTGCAGTGCCAAGTTCATCCAGGGTAGCAGACAGGGGGAGGTGGCATTTTGATGCGATAGCCTTGTGGATGGCCCACGACGCGCCTAGGATCTTGAAGGCTGGAAGACCGAGACGGTTGGATTCGTCTTTTACAAGGACATGACGCAGGCCGAGTTGTTTGGCTAGGTCTGGTAGGGGGATGAGGGGAGTGACGGAGTAATCTGGGAGGGTGCGGTGGAAGGGCTCAACTGTTGGGTTTGCAGAGGGTCCAGGGTACTCCCAAGAGGCTGCCGATGGGTTGTGGAACATGGTGGCAGAGGAAAGGAATATGAGCTGATGGGTTTAGTGTTCAAGCATACATTTGAAATGATATTGGCTGGAAGATTACTTCCATCCAATCTTTCTGGAGCAGCGCTTTCATGTATAGTCCATGAATCGTTCGCAGGGCGTGCCCAGCCTGATTGCTGGTTGGGCGTCTACATGGTGTAAGTTCTGTACATTACTGCAAGCCATCAAGAATAACATGCGCGTCTCTTCCGACGGGAAACGCTCAAGTTGGTCAACTTGGTTAGGGCTAATCGTGGGGGTGTGGGACCAAGTAGCTGTTCAGGGTCCGGCCCACGTACGTCATCACCGAGGCTCTTTACGCAGCTGCCTTTGCGCATGTGTTTCACAGCATACTCCAGCACCTGCGACGACAAACCACGACAATGTCACAGCAAGGAGTGCATGCAGCGCTAGGGAACATACCAAGAGTTGTAGTGCAACCAACAGTGGATAATGTTATAGCGTCCACGTACCTCGTTAAGGTATTCGAATGAATTCTGCTGTGCTTGCGCATATGCTAATAGGCAACAGGGCATCGTCTTCTTCCTCGCGCACCCGTTTCTATACCCTCTGCTCAAGGCGCGATTACTCCCAGCAGTCCTTCTCAGCATCTTCGTGCTTACCAACCTCTTTGTGTGGACATTGCTGCCACAGGTTCTCTTCCTCAAGCTGTTCCACACAGCAGGTAGTGCCTGGGTCAACGCCGTATTCCTCGTCTTGGGAGAAGGGGCCGCGGTCGTCGCATTACTCTTCGAGTCCTTCTTGGTGGTTTGTACACCCTATCATATCTAACACGCATATCCTACAGGCACTGACATTCATACCCTTAGGATGAGTCCCAAGTCGACGTCTTCGACGCCGTCCTCATCTACAAAGGCTACGAAGACCTCGTTCGCAAACACCGCCCCGTCAGCGAAGATTCCCTCAACGACCCCGTACGCCGCCTCGGCAAACCCATACGCTCATCTGTCTATGCGCCCTTTTCGTTCCGCCAGATCGCTGAGTTTGTGATCCTGCTGCCTGTGAACTTTATACCCTATGTCGGAGTGCCGATATTTCTTTTGTTGACGGGATATCGTGCAGGCCCGTTCCAGCACTGGCGGTACTTTCAGCTTTTGGGATACGACAAGAAGCAGAGGAATGCTGCGATTAGGAAGAGGAGATGGCAGTATACTTGGTAGGTCAAACGCCTCGATGGGTTGATCAGAACAAGGCTAACATGAACAGGTATGGCACTGTGTATTTGGTTCTACAATACGTGCCGCCGCTCAGCATGTTCTTTCTCATGACGGCGCCAGCCAGCTCGGCGTTGTGGGCGGCGGACTTGGAGAGGGCGAGGAGGGAGCAGGAGGCGAACCTGGCGCAAGCGCCGCAGTACACGGACGAGCCTGACGCGGGTGTATGATAGTACACCGCATAGTCTTATCTAGCTGTTCGGAACTCACCGACTGGAAGACTGTATAGCATCAGTGTTTGAGCTAGCAGGTTGTTGCTCAGGTCCCCAGATGATCGGAGTGCTGAGGTCATTGAAGCTTGACGCGCGTGATCACGGGAAGGTTTCGCGCGATGGTTGCAAGATTTGCATGTTGCCACGATGTGTGGACAAAGCAAAAGGCGTGAATTGTCAACTGTCAGTCTATTGCCCAATCGACTCGGTCAGCTGGTGCAGTACCATATTGTCGTGTCTTGCCTTGCTGGTCGACCTCGGTTCCCACAGTGACGGCGGATCCGGTACCTGCGCCAACGGACCTCGAACAGGGAACGTGTCACGCTAGTCGCACGGCGGCCAGGCAGCACTGATCACATTCGTCATTCGCCCGCCGCGCCTTCCCCAGCCCCATAGATAGCTGCAGCTTGAGCTCCATCCCCAACACACCTGACATTCACTCTCTCCATCTCTCCCACTCCCCCATCCATCATCCATCCATCCAACCTTTCCCCTCCTATACCCATCCGAATCCATTAACCGTCCGCCATCATGAAGACGGCGGTGCTTCTCGCAGCAGCCACCTCGGCCTCTGCGGCCGTCTACAAGACGCCGCTCAAGAAGGTCTCTCTGTCTGAGCAGCTGGTAAGCCATCATCGCAACCAAATGCGCGAGGTCGCAGTCTAACGACAAGTAGGAATTTGCCAACATCGAGACCCAAATGGCTGGCCTCAAGCAGAAGTACTCTCAGCAGCACATGACCGACCTCAAGTCGCAGTCTCAGTCTCACATGGAGGCGGCGTTGAAGGCACCCTACATTGCCGACGGAACCCACCCCGTGCCCGTCAGCAACTTCTTGAACGCGCAGTGTACGTGTCAAAAGCTACCAGGCTCGAGTGGCGACTAACAGACGCAGACTTCTCCGAGATCTCGCTCGGCACTCCTCCCCAGACCTTCAAGGTCGTTCTCGACACTGGAAGCTCCAACCTCTGGGTCCCCTCGCAGAGCTGCAACTCGATTGCCTGCTACCTTCACACCAAGTACGACTCTTCAGCGTCGTCGACATACAAGAAGAACGGCACCGACTTCGAGATCCGCTACGGATCCGGCTCGCTCAGCGGCTTCGTCTCTCAGGACGTCTTCCAGATTGGCGACCTCAAGGTCAAGCACCAGGACTTCGCTGAGGCGACGTCCGAGCCCGGTCTTGCCTTCGCCTTTGGTAGGTTCGACGGCATCATGGGTCTTGGCTACGACACTATCAGTGTCAAGGGTATAGTCCCTCCCTTCTACAACATGCTTGACCAGGGTCTCTTGGACGAGCCTGTTTTCGCCTTCTACCTTGGCGACACCAACGAGGGCCAGGAGTCCGAGGCTACCTTTGGTGGCATCGACGAGAGCCACTACACTGGCAAGATGGTCAAGCTTCCCCTCAGGCGCAAGGCCTACTGGGAGGTTGATCTCGATGCCATCACCTTCGGCAAGGAGACGGCCGAGATGGACAGCACTGGTGTCATTCTTGACACCGGTACATCTCTGATTGCCCTTCCCTCCACCATCGCCGAGCTCTTGAACAAGGAGATCGGTGCCAAGAAGGGCTTCAACGGCCAGTACTCGGTTGAGTGTGACAAGCGTGACAGTCTGCCCGACCTCACCTTCACTCTTACCGGCCACAACTTCACCATCAGCGCTTTCGACTACATCCTCGAGGTTCAGGGATCTTGCATCTCTGCCCTCATGGGTATGGACTTCCCCGAGCCAGTAGGACCTCTTGCTATCCTTGGTGATGCTTTCCTCAGGAAGTGGTACTCGGTATACGACCTCGGTAACTCTGCTGTCGGACTTGCCAAGTCCAAGTAAGACAGCGGTTGTCGAGTGTGGATACGATACAGCTTCAGGAACGTCATGGTTACGACGGCGTTTGGATCAAATTGTAGTTGGGTATAATGACTTGGGTATCGGTTCTACAGTAGCACAACAGCAAATGCGAAGAATAAAGTAAAACTGTCGTGCATCGTGATGTGGTGAATACATGTCGAGTCGACGGACCTGGCTGATTGTCGCGCCCCCAGCTGTCAACGCGTAAGCTATTATAGTCTGCGCTAGACGGACGGCTACGGTCGGTCCCCAGGCGTTTACACGTGCACCTATCGATAAGCTCAACCAATGACGTCTTCGGGACGGCCGCGACGGATACGGATGGCTTGCAGCTCAGGCATCCTAGAAGCATGTGGGATGATAACGGCTTGGAGGAGGACATTAGAATTAATACGCTATTCACTTCACTCCACTGCTACCGGTCACTGTTGTTGCCTAGAGGTGTGCGTGGGTAACCTTATCGTGTCACGCTAGCAGGTACCCCGGAGCGTGGATCTCGTGGCTGACGAGCGTGCATAGCTCGCAGACGTACAAGTCATTCCGGCAAACGCAAACGCCCCCAATATGTGACTGTTAACAGAACCTGTCAACTGCCTTGCAGCAAGAATCACGCAATACACGTCTGGACTCACTCCAACCTTTGCGTAAATCTGCCTCGCCTTCGCCGCGGTACATCCGCCAACACAGACGCCCGCAACCTCACCTCACCAATAAACTGTTGAGCGCCCGCGCACTCCACCACCCCCTCGCCCAACCATGGCAACCTCACAAGACAGAGGCCGTGACAGGACAAGTCGTCGTCTGAGCCGCAAGCGAAGAAACTCGGCGCGAGAAGCACGCGGTATGTCGCTCGACGTGCCAGAGCGCTTTCGAGATGGAGACGATGCACAAGAAGACGTTACGGCGCCGAAGCGCAACAACACCATGTCGATGAACCAGTCGCTCTTCTCCATGATAGCACGTGCAGGGCAACAATCACAAACAGACCTGGGTACGATGGCTGAGGTTGACTCGGGGGATAGCGATGATGGAGGTGGGAAGCGGAAAACATACAGGAACCTCGACGGCGCAGCACGATTGAGTCGACTGAGTTCCGCAAACGACTTCCAGAGTGCGGAGCAAGACGCAGATGATAAGATGGACAAGGGAAAGCATAGACGGACGCTTTCTGAGAATAAATACTTGCGCAACTTGCCCAAGTTGAAGTTGTCGAGCAGGAAAGAGGGACAGGCGCAAGGGCGGACGTCGAACCGCAGCGATCAGAACCAGATGTCAAGCAGCCAGTTCTTGCCGCCGAAGCCGTCGCCCGACGACCTTGCCAGTCCACCGTCGTCGAGCGCGATGCCGACCAAGACCAAGACCAAGGACAAAGACAAGAAAGACATCGGCGCCGGCGAGGACATGGCGGTAGACAAAGCACAGGCCTCTGGTCGCAAGAGCAGACATGGAAGCAGCGCCGGGCTAGCTAAGAGCAAAACACCCGTCACGCTGGCGCAGAGGATACAGCAGATATTCGAATTCGAAGAGGTGGAAGAAGTCATTTCCGAATACGCATGTTGGCTGCTTCAGAGCATCTTGCTGCAGGGGTACATGTACGTTACGCAGAAGCATATATGCTTCTACGCCTATATCCCTAAGAAACATCACGATGTCAGCAAGACGGGCTATCTGTCGAAGCGCG